GATTATAGCACGCTACTTAAATACCGCGATAATTATAGTTTATTAACGAGATATCTTTTAAAGATATATAAAATCTATAAATATACTAAAATAAAAGAATAGTATAACGCTACTTACTCTAAGATATCTAAACCCTTAATCTTTTAAAGACTTATATAATAAGTTAAATACGATAAAGAAGATTATAATAAATATATATACCTAAACTATAGAATTTATAAATATAAAAAAGCATAAGTATAGTATAAATAATATAATAGTATACTAAAAGATTATTAGTAATATATATAAAGGCTATAAGCTATATTCGACTAAGGGAGAATCGATATAAAAATACTATATATAAAATAGAAAAATATAAAACGAAAACTTAACCTTTAGTATAAAAATAAATAGAATTACGAAGTATAGTATATAATTAACTATAAAGTAATATAATATAAACGATATAGCGTTAAGAAATAAGAAATCTTTAATTAGCTATAAGATATTAGTCTCTTAAGCCCTAATATAATACTACGCGATAAAAATATAAAGAAACAATATTAATAATAAATCGAAGAAGAATACCTAAATAAAACGAATAAGGACTAAGTAAAAAATAAGGTACGCTATCTATAAAAGGGCTATAAACTAGTATAATATAATAAGATCTAAGGACCCTATATATAGTAACGGTAAGCTATAGCGACTAAATAGTATTAGATATTTAAATCGCGGGATATTATATATATATACTTTTAGACTATAGTATAATAGGTAATTACGTTTTACTTAAAGTTATTAATCGTTATTAACTTATATAAAGATATAAGAAAGATCTATATAAACTTATAAATATCGAAGGAGAGGCCTTTAACTATAATAATAGAATTATTAATATAGAGATTAATTACCTCGATATTAATATTTAGGGCTACGATAAATAAGTTAACTTCGATATTATAGATATTAGAAAATACAACCTTATATTAAGGCTTCTATAGCTTTAGGAGAGCAACCTATTAATTAACTAGAGAACTAGATAGCTATATTAGAATAAAGACGTAAGTTTCTAGGACTAGTAGATTTAAAAGAAAGTAAAATTTTATCATAATTTAGCTACTAAATAGGATAAAAGGGATAACCGTTTAAGTAAATTATTATAGGCTTTAGCGATATAAATAAAAATAGTAACCGAACTAGCGGATATAATAAAATCGACTAATAAGACCTACGTACTAACTAATACGGCTATATAACCTAGCATCTAATATTATTATAGAGTAGGTAAAGGCGTAGGCTTAAGTACGGTCCGTTAAAAGAAGGTTAGTAATCTATAAGGGGGAAAAGGAAGAGAAGTATAGGCCTAGCCTATATAGGCGCGGAGGCCGCTTATATATAGACTTAGCCTAGACCTTAGTCTAGGCCTATATAGGGCAAAAGCCCTTATATTATACCCCTACCTAGCTTTTAAAGAGGCGCGCCTCTAAATAATACCCGATACCGCGCCTAAGGGGACGGAACCCTTACGCGGACTACGTACGCTTAGTCGCGGAAAAAACGTTAGTAAATAATATATAATACCCTCCTAAGCGAGCTTCTCGGATAGACTATATTATTAGTAGGGGCCGCGCCCTAAGAGTCGGGCTTTAGTACTTTTAGCTAAGGAGCGGAGGTATATAGAATAGCGCGTAGCTAGCTTCGGTAAGCTTATAGTATCCCGCCCCCCTTATATCGGCGCACGGTAGTAGCTCCTAGTACCGTAACGTAGGGGACGGTACTCCGGTATATAAGGCTCCGCTCCCTCCTATATAGGGCTATACGGGCACTCCCTTTCGCTATAGTTATATTATATTAGCGGCCTTCCTATATCTTAGCCGCCCTTTCGGTCGCTATAGGCATACGTCCCGTCCGTATAGCAGCTGCTGCCGTATACGAGGGGACGCCGATAAAGCCCGTAGAGGCGTTACTAAGATTACTCGTCGCTAGAGTCGCTATCGTCGAACCTAACCTCCTTTCCGTCCTAGCGCGTGCGCCCCTCTACTACTTAAAGTGCGTTTACCCGCGCCTCTTAGCGCGGGTACTTTAAAAACTAATAGGATTTACTACTATAGCCTATATATCGACCCTCCTATCGCTACCTCTTTCTATCCTTAGTCCTTAAAGCAGAGATAGAGATATCTATAGTATTACTAGCGTTATCCTCTTCTTATACTATAGAAGAAGACGAAAAAAGAAACTTAATGCTACTAAGCTCGCGAAGAAGGCGGACGAGATCGGTATATATATCTAGTAGTATAGACCTTTCGCTTAGACGGGTACGTTAATCCGAATTTAAGCTCGTAATAAGGCAATTATACTTTACCGCGTTAGGCTAGCTATATACGTCTACTTAATAAAGTACCTCTTCGAACCGTACGAGGTAGGCCGGAATAGCTTTACTTTGCTTTTAACGGAGCGTTATAAGCTCCTAGCCTACTAACTTAGCTACGTTAGGTTCGCCGTAATTAGTACGGAGCTTTACGAGGAGGTTAGCTAGTCCGTTTATACTAATACGCGTAAACGGTAAGAGATACCTTTATAAGCGTAGGGATAGGCTCGCGTAAAGATAGTCGAATTAAGCGCGGATATCCCTTATTACGGCGCTATTAGTATAGAGCTTCGCTTCTATATAAAGTAGCTATAGCTCGAGCTCTATAGAGGAGCCGTCGAACTTACTAAGGTACGGTAGTACCGCTCTTAGTCGTGCGGAGCCCTACTATTATAAGAGGCTCTCGATTGCCTAGGCGAACTAAGTATTACGTTTGCCTTAATTTTACGACTATAGGAGTACGGATATTTCGCGTGCGTATATACTAGCGCGGGCGGTTTAACTAGACTAGGTAATTAAACGTTGGCTTTAAAGGCAGCTAAAAATAGCTATTCTATATATAGGGATATAAAGAGGGTAAAATAAAGGGTAGATTATACTATTACGGAGTAAGTAGAGGTATAAGCTTAGGTATGGTTTATTAAAAGAAGGTTAGTAATCTATAAGGGGGAAAAGGAAGAGAAGTATAGGCCTAGCCTATATAGGCGCGGAGGCCGCTTATATATAGACTTAGCCTAGACCCTAGTCTAGGCCTATATAGGGCAAAAGCCCTTATAAATATAAATAGAATAAAGGATATAATATAAAGATCTAAAAAGTTATTGCTACTCTAAGGAAAGACCTTAAATAAATTAATAAAGAGCTTAAGTTAAGAGAAACTAGCTCTTAAAAGAAAGAATAAAGCCTATAAGATAAAATAAAGAACATCCCCTAAGAATACCGGAAATATAATAAACTCTTTAAAGAAGAACTTAAGATAGGGTTACCTAAATATAGCTAATAAGACTATAAAATTTATCTTAAGGATAGAATAACGCTAACGTTCTATAAGATCTATAACCTAAATAAAAAGCAACTATAAACGCTATACGACTACCTTAACGAGAATCTATAAAAGGGATATATATAAACGTTAATATCTAAAGTAAGCTACCTAGTTATATTTATTTTAAAGAAAAACAGTAAGCTATAACTAGTTATTAACTATAGACGCTTAAACGATATTATAATAAAAGACCGAATACTATTACTACTTATATTAGAACTATAAGATCGACTATATAGTAAAAAATAGTTTATAGCCATTAACCTTAAAGGCGCTTATAACTTAATACGTATAAAAAAGGGATACGAATAAATAATAGCCTTTAAAACGAAATTTAAACTATTTAAATATCTAGTAATACTATTTAGACTTATAAATATACTAGCTACCTTCTAATAGATAATTAATAATATCCTACGCGAATACTTAGATATCTTTATAGTAGTATACCTAGATAATATCCTAATCTTCTTAGATACCCTAGAAGAATATAAGGAATATATCTATAAGGTACTCTACGTACTTTAAAATATATAGTTACTAGTTAAACTAAAGAAAAGTAAGTTCTATATATAGGAAGTAGACTTCCTTAGATATACGATCTTACTAAGAGAGAAGGACCTTATAATAAGGCTTAGGCTAACCCTTTTAGCCTTTTACTAGCTCCTCTTTAAGGCTAACTTCTTATTTTCCTTCTTAAAAAGGATTAATAAGGTAGACCGAGATAACTACTACTATAGCTAAGGAAGGTATATAGCTAGGTACCTTAACTTAAGGTGCCTAAACTAAAGGAGGGAAAGAGAGGTCCTTTACTTAACTTCTAAAAGATAGAAGGAGGCCCTTAGCTTACCTTTTCTTTATAGCTCTAAGGAAGAAAGGGAAGCCCTTTTAACCCTCTTAGCTAAAATAGAGATAGCAACGGCTAAGTAGCTCGAAAAGGAGTAACCTAGGGGCCCTTAGGCCCTTAGGGGGGGAAATCACCGCGCGGGAGGAACTAGACTAACCTTTCCTTTATCTTTACTATTATAGCTACCCTTTCCCTAATTAGTTATAAGCCTCTAGGCTCTATAGCTAGCTAGGACTGCTAATAGGTGCCTAGGCCCTTATTGGCCTCGCTATGGCCCTAGAGGCTATAAGCGAGTAATAATATAAAAAAAGAGACTGGTAACTATTTTAAGCTTAGGCAGAGGAAGAGGTAGAGGCCGGGCGAGCAGCCGGTCGGGCAGCCGGTTGAACCGCCAAACGGGCAGAGAGTCGGGTAATCAGTCAAGTAGCGAGGAGAGAACTGCCAGGCACGGAGCATTTCATGTCCTTTAGTTCTTTATCTTCAATCAACACGCGATGCACATAACACGGGTTTGCCTCTCACGGGCCTACCTCTTCGTACGCTATAGCCACCTTGCATGGCAAGCCATCCGCCTTTTTGCAGTATCCATGCATTGCTAGACTTGGTGAGTTTATAGATCTAGAAGTTCCTAAATCCTGAACGGTGTATTAAACCCCTCGTTGGGTTGAATCCCTCGCCTACTAACCCTTTCCTACCCGCTCTCCTACCGCAGTCTCGACGGCTAAGGAATCTAAGAGATCGTCTCAATCTCGAATCTAATCTTCAAACACGTAATTCCAGCGGTCCCCGTCGTTCGTGAGGGTACCGTGGCCGCCCATGCGCCAGTTCCCGGAACCGCCGTCGTCATCGCCGCCTTTCCACTCCCAGTACGAGCCGTTTTGGTCAATCCAGTAGTCGCGGCCACGTCGACGGACCCAGAAGCCTCCAGGGTTTTCATTGTTGGAGGCCTGGTTTTGAATATTGTTTGTGACCTCGACAGTAACCCTGCCGGTCTCGCCCTCGCGCTGAGTGCTCTCGCGGTCGCAGACGCCGAAACTCCAGCAAATCAAGCATTGAGCCTGCTGCTCGCTCGACATAGCCTGCCCCTTCTGGGGGCTCTGCGCCTTCTGGTGTTCCTGGAGGTCGCGCTTCCTGTTGGGGCAGCACAGACTCCTGAGGCACGTAGCGGCGCTGACTGCTCGCTTCTCGAGGCCCATCTCCTCGAGGGAAATATCACCCATCTTAGGAAGAGCGATGCTGTTGCCGGCAAGCGCCACGATGACCGTTGCAATAGCCTGAGCCTTCATTTTTGCAGGTTTTCTGACGAGGGATGTTGACTAAAGGAGGTGGGGAACAAGGTTCAAGCTCTGGGTGCTAGGTGCTGGATGATAGCGGGAAGATATTTCAAACGACAGCGGATTCATCGAATCTTATATTTGTCGAGAATTGCGGACTCCCAGCACGCGTTGGTGCGAGAGGCCGGAGTTCTTTCGCTTGCAACTGTCCGACCCACCGTTTTCCGACCTTCGTCCTGTCCGCCAGCATTCCACTTTCGCGCGAGGCCGACATTTGGCCGTGGAATCTTCTCTCCTCGGCAACCCCAGGTGCAGAGCAGCGAGTCCACAGCCGGAGTTCTTCGGCAGACCATTCGAGGACCTGCCTCTGAGTACATATACGCTGGCCGAGCACCTCGCCGACCTCTCTTAAGTCACTGCGAGACCGCGTTATATCTGTGGATCAAAGCGCATCTATCCACAGAGACGCTAGCATTCCTTCAAAACCAGATTTTTTAGGGTTCGCGGAATCTAGCCAATAGCCTAATAGGATTCTGCGCCCTTAGGCTCCCGTTCGGGCAGTTTTCCCCTTTACTACCTCACGCTGTAATGTAAGGCTCGGTAGGCAGTTGTGGCTTATTGCTCTCTCCTCCTGCGGCGTTCCTATTCTTTATCTATACGCACTCCGCTTAGAGCTGCGCAGTTTCAGAGAACTCTTTATTTTAAGCATCTCGTCTATCGTCCAACATTCGCGAGTCCTAGAGTTCGCCGTCTAAGTCTACCTTAAAATGCTCCAACTCGTCCTTCCTATAGAAGGCCCATTTTATTGTGAGACCTGAATCTCGAGAGCGGTATCTCGTCTCGGCCTATAACAGATTAGGTTGGTACTCGGCCATCTTAATCCAGAACTCATCGATGGTCCGTCGGGATTGCCCCGCGGCCTGTCGCAGCGCAATTTTCTCCGGGCGCCTTCCATTATCGAAGTCGAGGCGTGTGACGTACGCCAGCGTCGTTATCAGGATGAGCAGCTCTTGGAGAAGCTCGCAAAACGTGGCGCCCGACACCGATGCCTCACGCAGGGTGTTGATGACGGTGCGGACGAGTTTGAGGGCGGCAAAGAGGTCATCAACGGAAAAGCAAAAGCCGACGCACATTCAGGCATGGTCGCCAAATTGGGACAAAGTCAAGCTGATGAGGCTCGAACAATTTTTGCTCGCTTCGCATTGAGCCTCTTAACCTTGGTTTGCGTGCTTTGCTGGCTGGCGGCGTTGACCTGTCGGGATTTCAACCCTTCAGTGCCTCAGTCAAGCGGGGAGAATGGAAGAGACCCCATAGAGATATGTGGCTTTTGGCCTTCGGTCTTTCCCGAGCGTTTGTTGAAGCGTAGACATGAAAACGCTCGACAAGGCGCCGAAAACGTAGATCCCTTCAAGGGAGTAACGATAGCCCCCTAAAGTGAAAGTGCGAGGACCATACGAATTTCATTGAACAACAACATTCCGGAATCATACAAGGCTCGGGTGCTCCTAGTAACAGGTTTGTTCATCTCTAGAGGCAGCGGCTTGAACATTGAGCTAGATTTCGGCGTCAGACAAACTCTTAATAGTTTACTATAGCGCCTGAGAAGATGTCGACGGCTGCAAATACATACCCAAAGTAGTCGTCGGTGATATTATAGATCTAATAGAGCCTCGATCTCGATGGCAAATTCACTCACTTATCTATTAATTATTAGGCGTCGGAAGCACTCTAGGGTACTTAGAAGAAGCAAGGTGTTAGCATGCGAGAGTAGTTAGACGAAAAAGCGAAGATGTAAGATAAGTCATAAATAAAATGTTTAGGTATAAGGATATAAAGCTAGAGCCTCTATACTACGGGGATAAAAAGAAAGACTAATAAGTTATTTAAATATAGGAGAAATATAAGATATTAATAGAGATTAAGGTTATTACTATACGACGAAGTTACCTTATAAAGGAGAAACTACTTAAAGTACTATATAAGTAATATAGTTATAGAGGCAGTAATATATATATATAAAGAGATTAAGGACTAAAGATAAGAAATAAAAGGTATAAGTAAGATTAAAGCGTAACGTAATAGATAATAAGATATATAGATATAGTAAGAGTAAAAACAATATCTAGTTAACGCTTAGCTTACTAAGCTACTTTAATAGCTTAGGTAATTACTATCTAAGTAAGTATCTTTAGCTTAGTTTTAATTTAAGAGATATTTATAAAGTAAGGAGTATTAAAGAAATTTTATATAACTATAAGTATCTTAATAAAAAAAACGCTCTTATAAGGCCTTGCAGCGGTCCTAAGCTAGCTATAGCGCGCTAAAATTAAAATAAATATTCTTATTTAATTCTTTATACTTAGTTACCCCCTTATAAGGATAGCTTATTAGCCCTAGGATAAGGGTAGGACGGGGGGCGACCTAATAGTAGTTAATAACGTAAGCGACCGCTAAACGGAAATTTTTTAATTATAGGAACAATATAGTAATATAATAGGCCTAGGACTAAACTAATGCGATTTTAAGCTAATTACTAAGAATAAAGTAAAGGCTAGTATTACTAAATATATATAAGGAGTCGCTTATAACTTTATTTAAAAGATTATATAAAGGCTCTTAGCTACTAAGGTAAGGGTAATAATACCGCTAAGCTTAACCTTAAGTAGTATTAAGTCCGTTATTAAAAATATAGTCTTAAAGGCCCTTAAGTAAGGCCTTCTTCTTTAGCTAATACCTTAGCTTTAAACCTAAGCCGCTATAGTAGCGGCCTTAGGTAGAGGGTATATAGTTAAAGAAAAGTAAGTCCTAAACTAGTATAAGTAGTAGCTTATAGTTTAGTAAGACTTAATTAACGCCTCCCTTAAATAGCGCGGACTAAAGGAAATAGTATAGGTAATTAACTAATACCTTTAAAGTAAGGGAGAAGTAGTAGTAGTATAGAAACTCCTAAGTAAGGATATAACGATTATCTTTTAAGAGAACGCTATACCTTAAAGAGGTAACTAAGCTTAGCTTTAATCGGCGTTTAAAGTAAAAGCTACCTTTACTAGTAAGGGCCTTATAGTTATTATTAAGGGGGTCTTAGTTAAGGCGCTAAAGAAGGGAGGAAAAGAGGTATTAAAAAAAGAGATCGTAAGGGTTAATAGCGTCTTTATTATCCGGCAATATATATAGAAACCCTATATTAAATATATACCTAGGATAGCCTTTATCGTAACTATAAAAAGTATAAAGGAGGTAAATTAACTTTAAAATAAAGGCATAGTAATCTAGTTTAAGATCTTTAATATAGAACTAAATAAGGATAAGATATAGCTTTATTAGTACTTTTAGTACTATTAAATTAAATATATTACTAAGTACTATAATATAAGGGCGCTATATAGCTAATATAAAGTATTACTATATAAAGGTAGTAAGGATATATACTAATTAAAGACTAAAGAAATCCCTATTTAATATATACTTTATTAAAGTATATACTTAGTATAGTACTATACTTATTTAAAACTATAAAAGGTATAAGATAGTACTTAAGGCGCTTATTTAGTAAGGCCTAAGAAGTTTTAAGAAGGCTAAGTAGTAAAGGTAAGGCCCTAGGCTAAGGGAGGGGTAAAGGCTATACTTACTAAAAGGCCGGTAAAGGGGTAGAGAGCTATAACTATAGCCTTAAAGAAAAAGAAAGAAAAAAAAAGAGGCTAAGGCGGCCGTTAAGGCTTAAGAGAGCTAGGGCCGCCTTAAGGTAGAAACGACTTAAGATATACTCCCTTAAGGAAATCTATTAGCGAGATTAAGCGATAGTTCTTATAAAGAGAGATATAAGAACTATATAAAAATATATAAAGGTAAAATTAGAAGTAAAGGGTCGGATAAGTAAGGTAAAGATATTTAATTCTTATAAGGGTAGTAGTTATAGTAAGGGAGTAATTATTATATTACTTTTATTATCCTTCTTTCCTCTATCTAACGCTTTTATTTATACTTATTTAGTATCTCGATTAATAAAGAAGATCCTACTTAAAGAAGCTATTAATATCCTTTTAACTACTAAGCTTTTTACTAGTTTTCCCCCTTTATTCTAGCTAGTACTAGTATATCCGTCTTATCTCTTACTACCTTTATAGAAAGCTATCGCTACTTTTACTTCCCTTCCTACCCCTACCCTCTTTTTTATACCTCTTTTAAGCTCCTTCTCTTTTCCTTCTCTTATACTAGTTTTTTAGCTTCCTAGGTCCCTCTAACTAAGGGATATCTCTAAGAACTATAAAATTAAGCTACCCTTTATAATATACCCCCTTAGCTATAGCCTGCCCTTATAGTAAGGGTATAGCTAATATAGCTTTAGGCTAGTAAGCGTATAAAGGAGGTTCTTAGCTCTATACCTATCCCTTTACTTAAGGAAAGTAAAGGCTCTTTTAGGTCCCTAGGCTCTTTTAGACCTACTTAAGGAATAAGGGCTTAAAGAAGGGAAAGTTTTATAAGAAAGGGGGCCTTTTTAAAAGGGAAAACTTAATTAAAATAAGGGGCCCTTTAAAAGGAAAACCTCTTTCTTTTCTTTAGCTATAAACGTTACCTTCTTATATAAGCTATTAGCTCTTCTTATAGACTCTTAAAGCGGGCCTTTAAAGATAGCTTCTTATAGACGTCTAATAGCTTAATTTACTATAAAAGGATAGCTAGCTTCTACTTTAGTAAGGGCTTTATAAGACTATCTACTTTTATTAATATTATTAGAGCTTAATAGATAGAAATAAGTCCCCTTTAAACCTCTTAGTATAGCTAATACTAATAGATATCGATATATTATAGCTAGGTCGATAGCTTTTATCGCGAAGTATAGCCTAATTTTATAGTTCTTAGAGATATCCCTTAGTAAGAGGGACTAAGAAAGCTAAAAATACCTAGTATAAAAGAAGGAAGAAGGAGCTAAAAAGAGGTATAGAAAGGAGGGTAAAGGTATAAGGGGAAGTAGAAGTAGTAATAGCTTCTTATAGAGGTAGCGAGAGATAAGATAGATATACTAGTAGTAGCTAGAAAAAAAAAGGGAAAACCCGGTAAAAAGCTTAGTAGTTAAAAGGATATTAGTAGCTTCTTTAAGTAGGATCTTCTTTATTAATTAAGATACTAAATAAGTATAAAGAAGGGCGTTAGATAAAGGAAAGAAGGATAATTAAGGAAATATAATAATTATTCCCCTACTATAATTACTACCCTTATAAGAATTATATATCTCTGCCTTACTTATCTAACCCCTTACTTTTAATTTTACCTTTATATATTTTATATATACTTCTTATATCTCTCTTAGCGAGAGTTATAAGCCTAGGAGGAATAGTATTCTTATACCTTCTAGCTACTATAAAAGGTACCTTTCTTATATCCCTCGTAGCTCCCTTTTACCCTTCTTACTAGAAAAGCCGATTTTTAACTAACTTTTCTACCCCCCTCTTTTATAACGATATCGAAAAATAACTCCTCTACCGTCCTTATAGTTTATAAGACGATTCTTATAAAGCCCTAAGATTAGGATAAGTAGGTAAAGGAGCTATAGGCTCGTATAGATAGGACTATTTATAATTTAGTCTTCTTTAATAAGTAGGACCCTCTTAAGCCCCCTCTTTATCCTAAGGTAATGGAATTTATAAAAGGAGCTTCCCTCTTCTCCGAGCTAACCTCTATATAGTAGAGAGCTTTTTCTACTACCTTAAGTAACTACGAGAGTTACCGTAAGGAATACCTTTACGAGATAAAGCTATTAACTACTACTTATATAGTAATAATAAAATCTATTAGTACTATAAAGCTAATCTCTCTTTAAGAGGAAGAGACTCCTAGGTAGTAGCTTTTAAAGCTCGAGATATCGATAGCTCCCTTAAGGGGCTATATAACTAACCGTTTTAAGAAGACTTATACGGCCTACCTAGGAGCCTTTTCTACTAGGAACCTACTAGCTTCTTCGTAGCTAGCTAAGTAGGAAGAAATCCTTAAAGAAGCTAACTAATACTTCCTAATAAAAGCTCTATCTAGCTAGTAGCTATAAGATATATCTCTTTTAATAAAGCCTATTAGTAATAGTTACTCGACTATCTTTAAAGAAGCTAGCTAGGAACTAAATAAAGAGGCTACTAAAGTA